TTTCTTTCTTTTTAAATGAAATGACATGCTGGGGTTAGCTTGTGGGACTCTAGTCTGTTTTTAAGAGCCGTCTCCACAAAGAACAAGCAAACTAGTTGCAGCTATAGTACACTAGTTACATTTATGTATTTCATTTCTGCAGCCCATTAAGTATTAATCCTCTAATAGTACATTTTTAATCCATATTAAAGCAGCACAGGTTGCAGGCATTCTGGGTTCTGGATTACATCTGGATGTAAGTGGTTATATAATCAGAGCGCTCCCTTTAAATCTCCTGATGGGCAGTTCAATTCAATATTGTTTGTATAGCATCAAATCACAACAACTGCCCCTCGAGGTGCTTTATATTGTATATCGTAAGGTAAAAAGCCTAAAATATCACAGAGAAAACCCCAACACTCACATGACCCCCTATGAGAAAGCACTTGGCAACAGCAGGAAGGAAAAACTCGCTTTTAACAGGAAGAAACTGGCTGAACTGAGCAGAAAGAGAGGGATTTTGGCCATTTGAGTTGTGTAGTTTTTAGTTCTTGGAAACAAACATTTGCAAGAAAAATTCCACGTTGTCTTTATAGCGTCCGGTGGAATTCTTCCGTGACAACCGGATTATATCTGCGTTGCAGTGCTCAACCTTGGAAACCTGAGCCGAGCAGGATGAGTGCATCTGATTACTAGTTAGTAATGCTGAACATTAACAAATCCAATATATTTGAACAAAGTCAATGTAATTGTTTCCGCCTTTCTTCCCTCTTATGTGCCGCTGTGATTATAAGTACTTCTAGCTGAGAGCTTTGGTGCCTCGTGATCACTGTTTCCATCCCTCAAAATAGAAGTATGACTAAACAAGCGATTAATTCCCCCTTTGCCTAAAATCTTTGTGTTTCTCTTCCTCTGTGCACTATTCGAAGATGACCATATGGTGTGGGCCCCCCATCTGCTCCGGTGAGCACCAGCCGGCGGGGCTCGGCACACTCAGCGGGCGCCTTTTGATTTAAACGACCCGTCCAAAAATCGGTGGAAGCGATGCGTTCAGGTGAACCGGAGCTCGCCACGCTGGTCTTTGTGACTTCAAAGAAAAACAGAGAGACAGAGAGAGAAAGCGCAAGAATGTGCCCTAAAGCAGCTCTGCATGCCTGCACAAGGCCATATAACATGTGATGAAGCAGGCAGCCCTCCTGCATACGCATGGCGCCAGCTTACGCCACTCCCTTGGAAACAGTATAAACATAAATCTTTGCTTCATGAAAAGCAAAGCTGGGAAAAGTCCAGAATACTCAAGTAGAAGTACTATTACTTTCCCTAGACTGTGCTTAGGAAATAATGAGCAGGAACACAGGAATTTATAAGTTATCCGATTATTATTTTTTAATGAACAGCCAGTTTCAGATGTTTGAAGGCAGCTGTGAAAAGCTGCACCCTGATGCTGCAGATAAGCTCCTGCTAACAGCTCCCTCTGGCTGTACTTTGACTTTGAGTTGAAGGCTAAAGTCAGCTAAAGCATGCTGATATGTTTAAAGTGGAACAAAAAAAAAGAAAGAAAACCCAAGAAATTCTGACTTTGAGTGGCATTCACTGCTGCTGGCGTTTCTGCTACAGTCAGCGGATAAACTAATCAGCTGTAGATTTCTTTCCACCTTTTCAGATATTCAGAAAATGTCCTGCAAAATATACAGATCTTCTGCTTTTTTTAAATAAACTAAATATGTCTGATGCCATCATCACAAACAAACAAAACAACCCCAGAAAGTCTTGACCAGGTTTTCTTGGGCATCTGTTCGGTAGGGGTGGGGTTTTCACTGAAAGCCAAAATATTAAAATACGCCTTCAAAAGCGACTTAATTAGAGACTTATTGACAGTGTAAACACTGACACACGCACTTTCTGAGTAAACCAATAATATCCCCCATCAGCGAGGACTGGATTGTGACCTCAGGCAAACACCGCAGACCCACATGGACCCACATGTGCAGCTCTACATGTGAACAAAATGTCCTGCGTAAATGATAAGTGGACATTCCTTATCAACAGCTTTTCTTCCTATTACACAACCAGCTTGAATAGTAAATAATGATGATGCAGGGGTTATAGCAGCCCTTAACCCCCTCTTCACCTGCCCGCTTGTGTGTGCGTGTGCACTTTCAGCCCAGTACTTCTCCATTTCGACACCAATGACTGGCTAAAGGTCAAACTGAGACCTCCACCTCAAATCTTCTGGCTCTTCACAGGGTTAACAAGTTTAATGACTAAAGGCTCAAGAGCTGTTAAAACGGACTCCTTTAAGTCAGTGTACCTTATGCCTCACTCACAAATTCCTCTAGTTTGCGTGATCCTCAAGTATCTGCTGTCTATTTTGCTCTTGTAGTCCCATTTCTCCTCATTTATCATCATATTTTTACTCTTTATGCATCATTGCTAATAATTTCATCGCAATATCTGTGCAGTAATATACTGAAACGTAAGCCTCGTCAGGGCCTAGGCCCCCTCACGACCATATATCGTGGTGACACCCCTGGAAAATCAGTTTAGGACTACATATAAAGGCATAAAAACTTTAGTTCTTTATATATTTTCAGAAAGTCTGTTAAATTCAGAGAGGCACCAAAATAAAATCATGCAGAAGGAGAGTGCTTTGACACAGATGAGACAGATCCAGGGGGTGCTGGACTCACCTTGGCCTGGTTGATGATCAGACCCATGAATGTGGACACCAGCACGGACCGGGACAGCGGGTGGCTCCTGCGCCTCATCTCCGGTCTGTCACAGGGGAGAGCGGCCGGGTCCTCCGGCACCGTCACGGTGTAAGAGTGTCGCAGAGACGGCATGTTCGTTGTCCGATAGAAAGATTGTAGCGTCATCCAAATAGCAGCTCCAAATCGCGCACACGCAGACGAAGTCAAGTGTAGGTAAATGGATGCTGAGTTGACGCGCGTGGGATACCGCTGTGCGTGCACAAAGTCAGTATGTCTCTTCTGTATCTCACCTGCACGCGGATCTCCTGTGTTGTGAGTATCAGAGCGCGTGAGCTGGAGTTTTTACTGCGTGCGTCCCCTCCCACTCCGAAATGACTGGTGCTGCCTTTACGTGCTGTGGGAAATCTGAATACCTCTACTTTGCGCATCGACAGGTGTGAAATAAGCAGCTGTGACCTTCGATTAAATCACTTCCTCAAAAACCTGTTTCAGGAAATCAGTATGTAAAGCATTGCAAAGTCCGTTAAAAATGTACAACTTTTGTATATTTAATGAAGCCATCCACAATTTTACCTTCTTACAAAAGCAAAGTTTTCCAAATTACATTCCCTTGAAGTACACAGGAATGGGTTGAAATTTGGGCTCCTCATAACAGGAGATCATCAATCCATCCATCAGCTGGAGCCTGTCTCAGCTACCGTAGGGCAAAGGGGGAGTACATCCTGGACATGTCGCCAGCCTGTCGCAGGGCGACACAGAAAGACAGACGACCAGTCACACTCACATTCATACCTGTGGGCAATTCACGATCAATAATTAACGTAACTCACTTAATGTCTTTGTTCTACAGGAGATGTCTGCATTACATTTTCATGACTAAATAGGAAAATTAAGCTCTGTTAAAAACTGCAAGCAAGTTCATTTTTGTTTGTTTGTTTGTTTGTTTAAACACGTGTCACAATCTCTATTTTTTAATGCAATTATTATAACCCACCCTGAGCGTCATTATCATGGGTTTTGTCAGAGTTTCAATAGCAAAACTGCACCAGTTTTAGAGCACTAAATACTAATGCTGTATGTCATAATAGTAACTTACTATAATAGCTTACTATTAGTAATCTATTTTACATTATTCTTAAAGTAACGCTTAATTTAAGTTTTACTTTTAATGACAATTCTTTAAAAATTCTTACAGGGACTAGAAAAAGAGCGCATATTTCTTGCATATTGGCATCTTGCTTTCCAGTTACTTGAGTTTCAGGCTCCAGTCCTGTGGAAACAGCTCCCAGTTTGTGTTTGGGAGACAAACACCCTATTTACTCTCTACTTAGTTTGTCCTATCATGGGCGTAACTTTGTGCTGAACACTGAGGGGGTTGAGATCTCTGTCTAAATAAATTAATTAATCTGGGTAAATTCCCAGTGATTAAACATGCAACTATTTTGCTGATAATTACTGAAATGAGTAAAGAAAATCAACAGCCTATTTATGCAAGATAATTCCCTAACTTGTTTTTCTTCATGTTGTCTTGTTTTTATGTATTTATGGGTTTTAGTTACTAACCTATCATCAGTGTTGGGAAGGTTACTTTTAAAATGTATTCCATTACAGAATACAGAATACATGCCCCAAAATGTATTCTGTAACGTATTCCGTTACGTTACTC